AGAAGATACAACTTAGATTAGATATCATTTATTTACCACCACAAAAAGAGAATTCAAATTTGGACTCTTATTATTTCACATAAAGTCCTATGTTTTTAGTGCTCTTTTACATCAATTGAGTTCTGTAGGGTGGTCGATAAAAAGTTTACATTTATACAAGAAATAAGAATTAATAAATCTTTTTACTATATTATATAATTCTATTATTTATTTAAGTGCCACACCTACCTTTCCCTGCAAAACTTCTATCTTGCAGGTTGTCTGTAAGAGATTGTTTGAGCGATAAGGCCGCCTTTTGTGCATAGTTTTATTAAGTTATTTTTTGTTAATATTTATTTGGTATTTATGAACAATAAAGAGTCTTATTATTATTATTATTATTACTTATGGCTGTTTATATCTACACGCTCGACTATTACATTGTAAGTGCATCGACCTGGCATAAGTTCACTAAAATGCTTCTTATGTCATTGTCTTCTTTGTTAGGTTATTGGCGTGCATTTCCTTTGTTGGTAAGCATTTATTGTAGGCACTCGTGCCAATTATGTTATCTTTACTCTTACAAGTCGTATTTTTATTAATTGTCATTCTTTTTGTGTTTTAACTAAAGAAATAATAAGAATACTTACTTGATTACTTATTTAAAATTTGCGATTAGTTTTAAGTACAAATACATATTCCATTTCACTTATGAATATTTATATAATATACTATTGGTAATTATATTGGTTACTATAATACTGATGGTCAGTGTATTCATCTTACACATAAGTTTTATCATAACCATCTGCAATCACATTTAAAAAGAGTGACGGTAGAGTTTCTTGTCACTTTTTCATTGTTCGAACTACATTCCGAAGTGAGAGTAGGTTATACTTTTCATGAGTTTGTAAGAGACCTACATGAATAAAATTATTTTCATTCCATTTGATTTGATTATACGTGAATATACAATAAAACATAATTTATATACTACTAAAATACAAATTTACTATATAACAATTCTCAGTATATAATTTATTAGTAAGTGATAGCAATGAATACATGAGTAGCAGTTAGTTTAACATATAACACAATATCAGTAAAGAGTTTATTGATTTGTATGTTGAACTTCATTGTAAGCCGAGTAGAATTTACAGAAATAGGATTATAGCTAACTAATAGTTTGGCAAATGCAAGCGGATATTATACGAGCAAACAAATAAAACAACAGCAAGAGAACATTGAAGTATACTTAGCATTTTAGTGTCGTATTGATGGCAATATTTTCTGGTTAACTGCCAGATGTCTGAGAATTTGAATGCAACACAAATACAATTTGCTTCACTTTCAATAAAATTCCTAAATATCGATAATCATATATAAAACTTACCACATATTGATTGTATTAATGTTCCACTAGATCTGTATATAGGGTTAATGATACACGTAATAGGTAAACAAATCGGTGACAGTATTTATGGAAATTAATAACTTCAGCGGAGGAAATTGTTCGATACCTTACTAATGCATATTATAAACGCAGAAGTTTATTAGTGTAGACGATTGGATAGATGGTTCACCCATCTATCCAATGTTTGTTACTATTTCATGTAAAAACTACTGACTGATTTTTAATGAAACCGTATCATTGAACACCGTATTAGCGTGCCCGTTACTTTGTTGATATACATATTAAATATCTATATAGTTAAATGTTGAGATAATATGTAAATAGTCGAAACAATTCACACAGCGCCATCTAGTATAAACTAAATAGAGCAGGAACTATGGATACTTGACAATTAACAACATACATTTTTTTTGTGAATACATATAAAAAAGATACAAACACAGAGCAATATAAACAAAAATACTCATGAATACAAATATTTTATCTGTGGTGAACTAGAATGTTTAGTTGCGACTAATGACGGTATTGATCCTGCACTATATAGTTTTTATACATCATGTCTAAAGAATTTTATCATATTATAATTTAATTAACAGAACTCTTTGATTAACAGTACATATAGATGTATTAACAATATACAAAGTGATATAACAGTAGTTACTACATTCCATCATAATCAATTACCATTATGAAGCGTAATTGAAATGTACGCTGCTACAAGACGACCACTATTTAAACGAAGCATCGAAGCAATTTGTATGTATTAATCGACAATATTCCAATAAATTATGTTGTCCCTCAATGAAATTGCGTATTGCACAAGTCTAATTATTCAAATTTAATATTACTATTTGAATAGCAAGCAACTATGTATTTATAATAATAGTAATAACATCCTAGTATTGTAAAATATATCTCTTACAAAAAGCCACAATACAGAATACCTGTCGCATTACAAGATAATTTCTGACGTCCACAATAATAACATCTTCACTCAATATTAATTCATTTATGAATGAGTTTATATTTGCATTATCGCCTTCAGAGTAAATTAATATATAAAATATGGACATTGAACTAGAGAGCAGATTAACTGCCTACAGTAATTTCAAGTTATCGTTTATACTAATCACTTCAAATATTACTTAGATACAATTAAAAGATTAAAGTATTTATGTGTAAAAATTGCACTTGGTAACGTAACTAACATAACCTAGTGTGCAAAAGCATTACCATGCTTCATTAGTACGTACATATTGATGAACATTTTTGAGTACTAGTAGACTACGACGGTTCAAATGATCTTAAATATACAATGTAATTGATTATACAACCTAGACGAAACTCATTGAAAATTTTGAGGCAATGAAAGGCAATCATAAGTCACACTTGTATATAATCCGAATTAATATAATTATGACCCATCGCTTTTAAAGATTCATCAAACTCTGATACTTCCTTGAAAAACTAACCGCCCTAAAGAAACATTGCTGAAACATAGCTGCAAAATATTATTTAGTAGCTATGAGCATATGTTCTTAGAGTTTATTGTAAATAACAATAAATAACACGGTCACGAGAGTACCTTATCGCATTAAAAATTAATTGAAGTTTAAATTTTTTACCAGCATTAAATTTCATCATATCAGTATGATAAAGTATTTCGTTGTTTTGATATTGTTGCATGTCTATCAATGCATTATCTTTCTGGGGTAGATTAAGTCAAAACAATATGTTGTCTAGATTATGAAACGTACTGTTCTGTAAATTTTCTAAAAACAATACACGTATTCTACTTATTTAAGTGACGACACTTAGTAGATATACGTCAAACCTCGTTTTAAAAATAACATAACAATATATATGACCGATTCGTCTTTATTTAAAGTTCATTCACGTTTAACATGTAAAACTTCTTGTTATTCTCTGCAGTTATCACGTGAGAATCAAATTTAATCTTAAATTACTTCATTCATGTGACATTTTGCGTTGTTAGTACTATTACCTCCTGGATTAATGCTAATTTCGTTAATACTTGTAATTTGTGGGTGTGGTCATTAAACTTTTATTAGGTGATAAACTTATCTTAAAGTAGTAGAATCTTTACTTAGCTTTATTTACACTTATGTACATATAAACCTTCCTCTAAAATCACTCCATCTATTAAAAAAAAACCGCTTCAAAATCCGTTGCGTAGTTTTAAAGATTTAAGCATACATAGGGACGGACAGACAGTGCCAGCGACTTTGTTTTATAATATGTAGTGATAATGATAAAGGACAATTACCAACCCCATTGCTGTTTCATTGCATTAATGTATGTTGTACATTACTTTAGTATTATGTTATCGAAATGATTTCATATAAACATTTTATTTTAGTTTACCTTGTCTTTTGTTGCTTCCCTCTTCTAATTAACTCTTGCAAAATGCTGTCGATGAATATACACATATACTATAATTTTTCAAAATCCAGGACAAATCTATATGTTTTTACAAGGTGTCTATAATCTTTTGTCCTAGATGATAAATACTAGATTAATTCCAGAAAAAGCATATCGACATATACAGAGAACAGAGAATTTCTCTGTTGTGAGTATTGACTTTAATTTTATTGCAATGTATCTTCAAACATGTTAACTATTGCTTGTTCAGTTCTTTAAAATAGACGGAATCCAGTTAGTGCACAGAAATGGATTGTGAGGTAGGAATAATGACCGTGCTATACTAGGCAAAGGATGTGAAATAGCTGTTTATTTTCAATTTAACGCCTCGTGTTCCCGTTACTTCAAACATCCTTTGATAGTATTACGTGACATCATCAGTGTCTATGTAGTAGTTCTATGTGTATGTTCGTATCCACATTGGGGTCAATTCCCGATAATATCTACATCTGGCTAAGTAGGTCTTGCTGACAGCTAATTAATAACACTTTGTGTTATAATTTCATGGCCTAGTTCTTACTGGTATCCAAACTTTTTTATCCTCGTCTATTACTACACATATTAACTTTTAAATTACTAATCTCATGTGTTTGCAATTTTGTTAGTAATTAATGTCCCAGTCTTACAGCTGTTCAGTTCTATACATCGTTTATAAGGTATCCGTTTTTTAAATAATGTACATGTCAAAGTGTTTCTTTTTTATTAAATGCAGTCATTTATTTAATGTATATATGTATGATATAGTATATTTAATGAAAATTGATTAAAGCTGCCCAGAAAAAATACAAACTCATCACCTCAACGATTGTAAATGACAGTTAGTTCACGCAGATTAAATATCGAAGAACATGCTTATCAAAGACCTTGGCTGGTTTGAAAATCCTTGAACTAGCCCCGAAAAAGCATATACCGCACAAGGTTTATTTAGGAATAACATAACTACACAAAATATGGGTTCAAACGATGTCTAACTTTTTGAATTAGACATCAATACAATAGATATATTCTGAGTTCAAACAGGTCTTTAGTAAAATGCTATTAGACTATCTTAATTTATCACGAAGAAGAAAATCGTACTATATTACTAATTTTAATATTGTATGACCATCACCATGCTACGTATAAAATGTATATATGTGAAGAAAAACAAAAATGATCGACTTACCAACATGTGATAGGCTGGTGAGATCGGATTCTGAAATGAAAAAAAAAATGCGTGAAAACAATGTGTGACGCGTGCAAAAACAATGAAAACAAACAATACAATTAATGAAATCGTAGCAGGAAACAGTTTACAAGGAGCAACTTGTTTATATAAACTGTTTCATACTCAACATTATTGTGTTGATATTACAGAAGCAATGATGAATGAGAGCATTTATGATACGCGTGAGATGACCATAAATTGCTCAGTAATTCCTTCTTCAGAGTGGGAATGCCCTTAACCTTTGCTCATATCAGTTGCTATTACTAGTAATAACACAGTCATATGTTATATAACTTTCAGTGTATCTGTGCAGACAAATTATGATAATAATCTAGAGATTTTTTAGATTTTTAGCCCGCATTAGCAAGTGAACATTAAAATATGTTTACAATGGCATAAGGCTTTTTGATAATTAAAATAGAGGCCCATTTTCTCTGTAAAGTTTTTAGATGTATAGTTTTAATGCCTAACACTATAACTATACTTTTTAAATTAGATTGTAAGCTGTTGGATTCTAAGAAATAAATTTATAATCATATATCTGAAATAATAATATTGTAAAATTTTATTCTACAGTAAAAAGTTATGCTAAAATATATAATAATCTTAAAACTTGACGAAAAACTAACTTGTCGCATTAAATAGAAATAATCTTTCTTCAAAAAAATCAACCTTTTGATTATTTTGATTCTAAAAATGCGATCAAAAAAAAAATAAAGCTGTACGAATAGAAAAAATAAATAAAAACACAAACTAAGAATAAAAATATAAAAAATATAAACCAACAAACCAGCTTTTTTATATAGTTCAATAAAAATTCTTATCAACGTAATTAATTATTTTTATTTGGTAACGGTTATTGGTAGGATAGTATAAAAAATGCTCCACATACTATACATACTATACCTATTTACTATCAATTTACTTATTCAATACTGTTCAAAAGTCCTCAAATTATATTACTCATGCAAATTTCTAGTAACATTTACCTAAGCCTCATGATGATGAATCTGTTGCATAATCCTACTAATATTATAAATATTAAAGTTTGTAATCATGTTTGTATGTTTGGATACTAATTAGTCACTTAATAACAGTTAATACATGGTTGGACGGAATTGAATTGATGGTTGAATGTTTAGTACACAGATAAATATATTATAGTACATAGACATATACAGAGAATAATTTTATTAGTCTCACATTGGTAAATTAAATTTAGGAAAAAATATATGTTTATCTTATTTACAACATGTAAGTGTACAATGTATAAACCACTTTCCATTAGTCAATTTGTCATTATCACTTTGCGCTATTTTTTCACCAATTAGATTGGTAACTTTTATGTCATTCCATCAACTTCTATCAGTCGTATTATATTATCCGTATTAACTTTCATATTTCACTAATTCTAGTATATTTTTAGTTTTCTTTTTTATTTTCTACCGAAAAAAAATATTCACAGTCATATAAATGAGCTTACTGCTATGTGGTTTTGTCTAGTAATTATTTCATAATAAACTTTACTTTTTACCCGCTAGACCTTCCTTCGTCTTGTTCTAGAAAACTTTTGGGCTTATCTAATTCCTAGATTAAATACTCTGCAGGAGCACAACATCTAAACACTATTAATTTCGGACAGCAGTTAATTCGATAACTACCTTCAGTAATATAGTTTTTAAAGCTATCTATTTATAACCTATCCTACTGATTTCATAATTATATTGACAAAGGAATTGGGCCACTGTAATAAAAATCATATTCAAGAATCTGCGTGTTAAGCCCTAGATTACCTTTATGTAAATCAATGTACTCAAAGAGTAGTACGAAGGCTGGCTGTTAATAACTTTAACCGTTTCCTGGTAACATTGTTCTGTTTTAATTTCCGCAGATGTTGATATTCCGATCACAATGTACAGGAACTGCAAGAATCATAAATAATGTGCGTATTTGAATATTGCAAGAATAATTGTCGAACTCTGTTTATTAAATTTATAATGACGAGATGAGATGCGTCGTAGCCTGGAGGTTAACTACCACGAATTAAACCGGATTGTGGTGGTCTGGTCAGATTCGAATTCACGTATATGTTATGAATTCGAATCTGACCAACACTTTAACAGACGAAAAAAATAATTTGTATGTATTGTATATTATTATTTTTGACTCTCTAGTTATGAAAAAAAAGATAATAAACCAATAGTGGCTTGACCCCAGATGGCAGCACATCGACAATGCCAATCCTATCGGGAATAAGGGTCTTAACAGGAATTCTACGTTATCTCAGATAGATAAAAAATTTATTGGATCTTCAGCATAATCTGTCTACATAGTCAATCATTGAAGCATTTTACTTTATTAATAAAATATTTTACTATATTATTATACTGTAAGATATATTGTATTACCACCTGGTTATATTCTGTACTCCTAAATATTAAAATTAAGTTGGTATTACGTCTTAGAATAATCTATTATCTTTAGATGTCGCCCAAATAGCGGCGGTGGCTTTAATTTTTTTTATTATTTTATCTAGACAGCTTTGTAACAAATTGCTCTTCCTTGTTTGAACTCCATCGACAGTATCAATATTTGTATGCGCAGTGTTATGTACTGAATTCCAAATTCGCATTGGTATTTGGAACAACGATGCTTCATGTGGCTTAATTGAAATTCAACGAACTTATCTATTTAATTTATAAGCAACTGATGAACCTCGATTTTGTCTGCTTAGAATAAGTACCAATTCCTTGTTTGTTAGACAAATTTTAATTATGATCATTTTATTTTCTTTTTTCACATATGATTGATTCCATATACAAACTTTCATTCCTTATTTCACCCCTTAAAATTGGGGGATTGGTATTCTAGTAGCCCTCATTGTGAACTCTGTACCATCTCAGATAGATATCCACACGGTCCTCCTAGAAATCGTTGTGATTAATTCCTGCGAAATTTTGCTACTATAAGCCAACGGCCTGAGTTCATGCACACACCCTACGCTCCACTGGTGGCCCAGTAACGTGCTTATATCGTTAGTGCAGGCAAAAGCACCACACTATCATCACTCCATATAAAAAAAAATGTGTATACAATTATTAATATTTTCTTAATCAATACGACTCATCTTACTCATGGTACTTGTACTAAGTGTGTAAGCCAGATAGTGTTTAAATCGCATTTTTTAGAAATTGTGATTCATACCTCGACATCACAGTCAAGTAAGTAACTATATCCTTTGCCAATGTTTAATCTACCTTTATAACAAAAATCATCAAAATTTATGTTTTGGTTTTGAGAGAGAAAATATAACAGACGTACAGAATTACTTCCACATTTATAGTATTAACATGGGATATATTTGACAAAAATGTAAAGTGCAATTACCTTATAAAAGGTTATAAAAATAATTTTTAAACTGGACGATAAAAGATATATTTTCATATTCCCATTAATATAGATCAAAGCAATTCCAATGACAGGTTCTATCTACAGAAATTGACTAAAATCATAATAAATTAGTGTGATTTTTGGGCGCATTTCAATACATATAAGTGAACGGTAGTTTGGATTTCCTTTCTATTTATGGTTTAGGGTTTATTTTTAATTATAATACGAGTGCTATGGCACGTGTAACTCATAAACTAACCAAAATTATAGTCTACTTGTAATACATATTTAAAATTTCAGTAAGGAGGTTAACTCAGATGGACTGATGGTAAGTGGTAAAATAACATAAACTGCACACAGACGTTGTAAAATCTGATACCCGTAGTGTTTCACATACACAATTATCCTTAGTATTTAGTCAATAGCCAATAACTATTCTTAGTCCATGGTAACTACTGCCAAGCCTTCAAAATGACTACCCTTCCACGGAAAACAGTGCTTACAAACAAGCTCTTTAGCGGCTAAATGATATGGAAGGTGCTCATCCAGAGGACTTCATAGAAATTCTACCTTTACTTTTTAAGCCATCCGGTAGGTGCTCTTAAAAATTCTCCCGTATGCATCAATACCGGGGAATATTGTAATTTCAGTATTTTTCAAGGCCTCTGTATACTGTATACCAGTGCCTTTATAGCTTACAAACACTAATTCTGCCTAGACATTTATAAACTTTAAATTTTCCTTTATCATCACAAATTTTTAATCTTGTCGACCACGTTTGAATGATCACGCAAAGTCGGGGGTAAATGCTAGTTTGTAATAAGCTTAGCAATCCAATGAATTGATAGCATAATTCAGGTTTTTGAACTAAGTGGATAATTATGTTTTGTTATCATGTGGTGCCACACTCGTACGATGGTGGTGACGTACATCTAAATGATCAGATGCTTTGTCAATAATATTTATGAAAAGAAGGACGCGACTGACGTACGAGGTAGTTGACATGAAAACAGCATTTAATATATCTAAACGAATAAAGAGGAAGATAAAATATTTTTGTTTGTGATGGATATACTCTAAAAACTTTACCGATCTTAAATGTTGTCTCACATATTGACACCTACAATACCACCTGTAACATAGACGAATATTGTAATAAAAAAAATATAGATTGCTACAATAATTTCAGCCGTAAAAGTCAGGGCGAATCACTAGTCGTACACTAAGACGAAAACAAGGTGTCACTTTATTATAAATCGGTAAAAACAGAAACAAAACTGTTTACAGAATGACAAAAACAATGATAACATGATAAAGGTCAGACGACTACGCAATACCCACTAAGATCATACTGTTTCCTATTTGTTTTTGAGATATATAGTGGCAATATAATAATATGCAACATTGTACTAAAATGAACATAGTAAGACTTTGAAAAATCCAAAGCAATCATTTATGTATCAATAAAAAAAAAGTGTCAATAAAAAAATGTACCCACGATTATAATAATGGGTATCATCAACGCTGTCTCTTCTATTATAGCCGCCAAGTAGCTTGATTTGTAACCTGCTTCAGTTGTAGGCGATTAGATGGGGTTA